AAATAGGATTCACAATCAAGAGTCACTAATCAAAACTTCGATCAATCGAGGCTTGTCTAGAGAAGTTCAATCGATTGAAGGTAGGGGTGCCAATTTGTGTTTCCGTGTCATATTTGTGTCATATCATGACATGGGTATCCTGTTATATAGGTCGACTTGAACGCGACACGATTATTGTTGGTGTCAAAAAAACAACACAATAATTAAATAAGTAATACGACACGACCAGCATAACGTGTATAATAAATGGGTCAAGATCTAACACAATACGAGACAATGCTGCAAGACATGTCTAATTAAAATTTCATACAATTAGAGGAGTTTTTAACACAAACATGACACATTTAGTTAAACATGTCATTTCTAACACAAACACGGCACGTTTAGTCAATCTTCTAACTGGGTTATAAACGGGTAGATGGCAAACACGAACACAACGCATTTAATTAGCATGTCAATCGGGGTAGACATGATTACAACCTAAACATGATAAGCCAAACCCAAACCTACTTATCCCGTGTCGTGTTCGAGTCGTCTTAACATGCCATTTCAAGACTAGGCACCCCTAATTGAAGTGCTGATTTATCAAGACCAGGACAGAACTTGAAAATACCAAAACACGTCCTTTTTTGAAAACTTTTCATATTCTACCCACTACCAAACACCAATTACTCCTATTTAGTAATGGATTTGAACATACCCACTCTATAAATACCTACCAAACCTTCACTTCATGTGGATTCTAAACTCTTCACATACTCATGGAAGAAATGGGTACATCCAGTAGCACGATTAAGTGGTAAAGGAAGTCGGTTCCTCCCCTTCCAACAGAAAAAAGACATAAGTTTGCTTCCCTTCAGCCAAAAGATAGTCTCACATTCTCACTACTCATGCAAGTAATGAGTATAATGTCATCTTCACGAGTTGTCCTTTGATTGTCAATAGGAAGGTGAAGCCTGAAATTTTTAAAACCTATAATGTTGATGCCATGGTCATATCTCAAGGTTGAACTACAAGTATGTAGGCTCATGGTCTCTCTTATATCACTCAGGTTTGAGTCTTATATGCCAACATGCACGAGTTAGATCTTGTCAACAATACGTTGAAAACAGCGTACAATGGAGTGATGATGACGATTATCCTATCTTAAATTGCATCAATCATAGGTGCTCCCCTCGGGCTGCTACTTCCAAAAGATAAAGCGAATAGTGTAACAATTGCAAATCTTGACACTGTTATTTGCAATTGTCAAGTCCTTGATCTTTGCTTGGCTCAAGGCTACCAACTTGAAGCTTCAATATTGAATCCTCAACAAGATTTTTGAGTTCAACGCCTTGATGATTGATGGGGTTATCTCTTTGTGATGATTGATGCGGTTCTACATTTGTTTTTTTATGCAGTTTCCCCTATATATGGATCTAACTAATATTTTTTCTACATTTTTACGTTTTAAAACTTAATTCCTCCAACATTTATACAAGTGAATAGGACTTAGTTGGAATGGTTTTATACCACTATTGGCATTGGGAAATGAATATTGTTTATTAATGAAATATGCAATTTCATTATATAGTATATTCTCTACGCTTGTATGTCTTCCACTCCAATTTTTTCAGGGGAGAGCATTTTTTATCTTGTTTTAGACATGCTTGATTATTTATTTGCTTACATTGACTGATTAATTGCTTGAGCTATTTTGAGTTAGGCATAAATAAGGGGGAGCAAAAGGTATAGCTGTTACTTAATTTACTGTTTTATTGATTTATATTCTCTTAAAAGACTGATATATCGTACAATTTCAACTTTCAAGTCTGTTTTGCAGCTTATTAGTGGTTGAAGCTTCTAAAGTCTTCAAAAGAGAATAATAGAAGATTTTGAATTGTTTTTATTTATTTACTGATGTGTTTTTCTGCTTTTATATGATTTCGTCACCAAATTGCCAAAGGGAAACATTGTCAGGTCAGTAGTACTCACGAATGGTTGATTAACAATAGACCCGATATGATCAGTTTAATTGAAAATGTAAATTTATATGTCAATAACTACAAAAAATATCAATGAATGAATGTCGCATAAATTAAATAAGTAATATAGCAGGATAACCACATAAATTTATAGAATAAGGATAATAAGAGATTAATATTCTAAGAACTGACAAATGTAAAAGCAATAAGCCCTTAGTAAGAGAATGATATATTTATACGTAAATGGAAAATTACTTATAATGGGAATTGTGACTAATGATTAGTACCATGCATATAATTGGTAATAGACTTTCAACTTTGACAGGGGAATTGTGATTAATTAGTAGAATTAAGTAATTTTTACTTTTTACATCCCCAAGACCCAAGTAACTATGATGAAAGTGATAAAGATATGTGCATGACAAGCCTTAAAATCCATTGTACTAATAACAAAATATTCATATTATACCTGATTAATGGTTCAAATAATATAACAAAATGAGTCAAATTTTGAAGAAAAAATTAATATAAAAGATTTTGGGTTTCATATGAGTTTCTACCAACTAATTGGATACGTTCTTTATGTGTGAGAAGGTAGGATGCATTATCTACATACCATATGAATGCGTTTCATATGTGAGAGGTTGGAATAATGTTGGATGTGTTCTAAGATATAATCTGGGTTAATGAGAAGTTGGATGTGCTCCCCATCTACTATTTGGATGTGTTCCTTGCCTAAGAGGTTGGATGTGTTCCTTGCCTAAGAGGTTGGATGTGTTCCTTACTTACAATGTTGGATGTGGTCCTTAGAAGTTGGATTCGTCCCCTACAAAAGAGGTTGGATGTGTTCCTTGCCTACAAATTTGGAATGTTTTACATTACAAGGAATAGAGCCTAAATAGTCAAATAATGCCCAACGCCTAATGATAAACATTAAACAAGATAGCATTAAATAAAGAAGCTCACAACATAGTGATTTTGTATGTCTCCATAGTTATCGTATTATGATTAAGATAATATAGATTATTATACAGCTTTTATTTAAGTAGTCAAGTAGGTAACCAATCCTTGCAAGCCTGTTTGGGTTTGGAGTATTTTAGTACTTTACCTCTTTGGGTGTGACGATATCCATGGGAGGTTGTAATACATTGTAGAGACAACTCTACATATAGATATGCTTCCGAGATATAAAAAACTTTATCACTACTTGAGTATGGGCTAAACCACGATAGGACATGAGAGAGAGAGAGAGAGAGATGAATGTATAATCCTATTAAGCAACAGTTTCTAGGGTCCCTTTTTATAAGTAAAGAATAACTCTATTATACAAGTTTACAAATTTAAAAAAGGATTCTAGATTACTGTTAACACATTAAAGATAGTGAACATCATATAAATGTTTTAGGGTTTCATATGTGAGCTAAATTAAAACACTTATATACCCATATAGAGAGACTCAAAGAGAGATTTTTTTTTTTTTTTTTTTTTTTGAAATTTATGACCAACTTTTGAGTTAGCTGGCAAGAACGCCAAAAAATTACAAGGTCTGTATTAAATCCTCCTCCTTCAGGACCGGCAGTAACAGGACCAAAAGTATATGATGCATTGATATAGAATGAGAGAGAGGATGCAAGAGGAGAAGAAAATAGAAGAAGAGGAATAAGGGAGGAGAAGAAGAGATAGGAGGAAGAAATAATTAGCAAATGGTTCCTTCTCATGTATCAGCCCACATATATATACAAGGAAGAATCCTAATCAAATCCTACTACCAAAAATACAATCCTGAAATACTAAATTACTCATACATCCTAAAACTACAACATTACAAAAATAATAATTTAAAATTGACATAAAAAGTCCCTAATTCTATCCATCTTTCCCACATCTCCAATAGTAGGTGCGGGTCATGTGCATTTCAAGCTCGCGAGCCATATCCAGTTCTCCATCCCTAGATGACATCCCTTTTCTTTTATCAAATTTAATTTTTTTTAGCACAATTGATAACACTATTACTTCTTTTTTTTTGGTGCGTCAGTTGTGTGACAAATTTGACTTCTTCATTCCATCACCGATTTTGTTTTATTAATGGTCCTATTTTGATTCTACAAGGGCATCTTATTATACTCATTTAATACATTCAACCATTCTATTCCATGTTAAGTTAGTTTCATCATAATGCAGCCTTTTAACATCCTATTCTAAAATAACTCTACTTTCTCTCATGTTAAATTCCATCATTTAGTTCTTAGGTTATCAATTTCCTTACTCCTTTCTTATTGTCCTTTTATATAAACATCTAAAAAACCAGCAGCCTATTTTGTGATGTTAAGTTCTCTCCAGGGATTAGCTTACAATCTCCATTGGGGGGGCATCCATCGGTTCATCTGTTCCCACTTCAAGTTAAAGGTTACTAAACATTCATCGTTCTTTTAAAATAGGTATTAGCCATCCTAAATTATATGGTAGCATAAAATCCAAGATATCCTTCCCAACGACAATATCTATCTCCAAATTCACATTCAACATGTAGCATCTCATCCTCCCACAAGCTTTTACTACATATAATTTCCCTACTTTGGGTATCCTTTAAATTAATTATCCATGTATTCCCATAATAATGCTTTAATGTGTCCTTCTAGACCTATTTGGGGAACATAAGTGCTAACTATATTATATAATCCTCTTTCTAATAATAATTATAGCATCTTTAAATTCTCATCAATGATAATCCCTACTTCAGTTTTAGGTTTATCTTCCCCTATTCTTAATTTCTCCCTACTTAGTTTCTTATCATCATGACTTCTCTAACCTTTTCTCCTACCTGACTACCAACTCCATTCCTTGCCGGTCAATGTTCCTATAATCTTAAGTCCCTAGCTTAATCATACTATCATGCAATAACTTCCTTAATTAACATGAATTGAACATATTACGTGTTGGAAATGCATGTGAGTAGTTTTAAAGAGCAAAACCCCAATGGTTTATAAAGAAATTTAGAAAAACAAAAAGACAAAAAAGTTAGGCATCATTTCTTACATCTATTACTGCAGGACTCTCAAATTTGTTGTACAGTGGGTAGTAAGGATCCTTTTCAAATGTAAATCCCCAAAGCTCACCTGAATCAGTTGTACTATATGTTAACAACTTTAAAACAAGATCTTTCAAACTGTTCTTCTTTGCCACATTCATGAAATACAATTGAGTTTATTGTAAGAGGAAGGAACCAATCAAAAACCTGACACATTCCCTTGCGGCTCATCCAAGAAACTTTTGCTAATAAATCGTATATTCCACGTCCAAGTATGGAAGAAAAGAAGAAGATATCCATTAGTGCATGCTATTTACGGGATTCAGGGCGAACTTGTAATATAGATCATGATAACAAAGCGAAACAAAAAACGTACAAATACAAGTAGATGGCAAGACAAACCATATAAAATACGAGTATATGGTATAACAAACCAGTTCATATGTTTGAAAACTTCAAGTTCATTCGTGACTGGGAAGCCTGAATCCTTGAACATGAAAACAAGAAGCTCTGCCATTGATTCAGCCCGGTTCGAACTCTGAGTATACTGCATGGAACGAAAAAAAAAAAAAGGCAAATAAAATTGAAGAATAACTGAAACAAAAGAGAGAGAGAAAAAAAGAGGAGGAGGCCACATTCTACCGTCAAACCGCACTCAAAAGAATCTTAAAAAATAGAGGGGGAGACCAGGGCCCCATCTACTAGTATTGCACGAGGTGAACCAACATAAAAGTTCTTAGTTAGACAACACTAACACCAATGTCATCAATTTCACAAGAACAGGAGATCTGAGGAAGTATTAATGTAACATACAATGACATGCGATCCGGACACCAGATATTCCATCTCAACACCAATCCTCTCACAGATTTCAAGCAACGCCAACACAGACATCATCAACCTCTTCTTCTGAATCAATTTATTGCTTCTACCCGTTAATTTCTGGTCCTCAACAATTAGTGACACCATCTTAGTTGCAACGAGTTGGCGTGCCATCTCAATTGTAGTTAACTTATGCATAATGGAATGATCTTTCCCTAATGAGGCGGATCTATCAAAATGAGGCGGATCTATCAAAAGCAAAGCAGCCAAGTGAATGATCTTTCCCTCCTGTGCATAATGGAAAATGAGTTGCCGAACGCCATTATCACTTGTATTAAGTAAACGTAACCTAAGAGTCTCCCACCGCTTTTGCTGTCACAAAATTTGAATGAATCACAACATAACATACATACATACATACATTTTCTAACATAAATGTGAGTAATATTTGCTACAGAAGCATACCATTTCCGGCAGGCAAAACATGAGAATCAATTTGTAAATAGAATCTTTAGGGCTCCACTCAAAATTGTAGCTGAAAAAAACCCAAAAACCTCAATGAAACCCAAATTAACCAAAAAAAAAAAAAAAAAAAAAAAAACATACGTATAAGAACAACTAAAAAAAGAAACAAATGAAAGATGATTTGTGACCTTGTACCTTACATATTCTACAATTTCACCGAGAGGGAGCATCGTATACCATTGAGGCAAATTATAACGACCCTCCCGCACAAGAGCTATGAAAGGATGGATCGTCGACATAAGCAAAGATTGAAACTAGAATTCGGGGGCGATATGCCTAGATTAGATCGCTTCTGCGAATTAAGAGTATCTTAAAACACCTTTTTTTTTTCTTTTTAATATACACTGTCACTTATAAATCTATTATGACTCATCAAATTTACACAAAAAATATATATATATATTCACAACCCTTGAAAATGTTCTTAAGATACACTGTCATATCATTAATGTATAAAATTATTGGGTATTTTACATAACTTTTTTCCACAAACACATCAACATATTTCTTTTATCCTCCTCTTTTCCATTGCATTAACGAATCAACCCTATATTAAGTAGGTTTGTAAAAATTATGTGGGGTCTAGATATGACACTAGTTGATTGTAATTGTAGGATATATTTTTACATAAAAGATACTTCTATAAAACAACAACAGTTGGAGTTAAAAATAAATAATCTAATTTTTTTTTTGTGTAAATCTATTATGACACATCAGATTTACATAAATAAATATATATATATATATATATATATATATATATTATTAAATGTGCAAAGTGTTTCAGTGTTTCAGTATTTATTTATTAATTGATATAAATTCTATAAAACTAAAAATTACCTAATAAAATTCAAATTAACAAAATATAAAAAGAGTTTAATTCAAATTACAAAGTCCCACATTGATTTTAAGTAAAAAGGATTACATGAAAAATCTCTTATAAAACTATAGAGCTAAATAAATAATAATCACACCTTCTCGCTCTTTTGGCTAAGATCAAGTGTAGTACTAAATTTTTTTGAGTCGGTCTTTTGGCTAACTTTTTTTGATCTTTTGGCTAAAAATTACAAAGTCCCACAAATTCCCTAATAAATCTATACTATTATTAAAAGAGTTTGTAATACAAAATCTATATATATATCTATACTATTATTATAAAAGATAATTATTAAAAGATACTATTATTAAATGTGTAAAGAGTTTTAGTGTCTCAGTATTTATTTATTAATTGATATAAAACTCTAAAAATTAACTAAGAAAATTCAAATTACAAATTCCCTATATCTATATCTATACTATTATTAGAAAAGATAATTATTAAAAGAGTTTCTATAAAATTGTAATACAAAATTTACAAAGTCCCATATTGGTTTTAAGTAAAAAAGATTACATAAAAACCTCTTATAAAACTATAGAACTAAATAAACAATAATCACACCTTCTCAACCTTTTGGCTAAGATCAAGTGTAGTATTGAATTTTTTTGGGTAGGCCATTTTGGCTAACCTTTCTTGGTTATTATTAAATGTGCAAATCATTTCAGTGTTTCAGCATTTATTTATTAATATAAAAAAATATTTATTAATTGATATAAAACTCTAAAAATTAACTAATAAAATTCAAATTACAAATTTCCTAATAAATCTATACTATTATTAAAAGAGTTTGTAACACAAAATCTATATCTATATTATTATTATAAAAGATAATTATTAAAAGATACTATTATTAAATGTGTAAAGCATTTTAGCGTTTCAGTATTTATTTATTAATATAAAAAAAAATATTTATTAATTGATATAAAACTCTAAAAATTAACTAATAAAATTCAAATTACAAATTTCCTATATCTATATCTATACTATTATTATAAAAGATAATTATTAAAAAAGTTTCTATAAAACTGTAACACAAAATTTATATCTATATATATACCATTATTATAAAAGATAATGACATTCATCTGGCCTAGTTATGGTTATGTCCTTATCAGGAAAGGACACATGTTATCATCATATTAATTCGAGAAGCTTATAAATAGAGGATTGAGGAAGGAGGAAGGATAAATTGAAAATTCTATAAATCAAGGAGAAATTTATAAACTTATAATTTCAGAATCATCCCAACACCGAAGCCGACAAATTCTCACATCGAAAAACAACAAATGCATCTAAAATTGTACCATTCTTCCTCAAATTAAACTTCAACAAATAACAAGCACATCTAAAACTATCAAGATTCGTCATCACATGGATCCAACCAACAAAGGATTAGAGGATTGTACTCAATTTTTGTAAATTAATATTTTTTGCTTCATATGCAAAGAATAGGATTGTACTCCATTTTTATAAATTGTGTTAATGCATAATAAAATATTTAATAAATCAATTGGTGCATAAAATATTGAAATAAATCAATTGGTGCATCAAACAACCAGTGCCAACTCCATGAACATATAAAATCATTAATTGTTAATTAGGTTATTCAATTTGATGGGCTCTTTTGTTTTCTATTTCTTTTTCTTTTTGGTCTAAGTAAAACAAAAGGAAAAAAAGAAAAGAAAAGGGAGCAAACGGAACAAATTTATAAGGTTGAGCATTTAAGTCACAGAGTCTAACGGGGGGTGTAAAAAACACAAGAAAAAAATTGGGGTGTGCTCGTGTGGCTTACTACCAAAAAAGAAAAATAAATAAAAAAAGAACATTTGTTTTTGTTTTTTGTTTTTTGTTTTTTTCAAAGTACGAGTAAGAACAATTTCACACAACAGTTTGTACTTGATAACTATTAAGTATCAACAGAAGTAATAACGTTCACAAGTGGGTTTTGGTTGCCAAAAACATGAAACCGGGACTAGATTGTTCTTTTTTAAGTAATAGTTGACAACATTAGTATATTAAAATAAAATAATTTATCTAAAACTCTAACACAAATTATTTTTTTATTATGAGTTTTTTAAAAATATCTAATTAAACAAGGATATATTTAAAGAAAATAAAATAATTTTCCTATTCTATTTTCAATAAAACACATTAGACAATGATATATTTAAAGATTTTCTATAAAACTAACATAAATTACCGATTTATCTATTTATTATAAATTTTTTAATAAAAGAAAATCTAATTGGACAAAAAATTATTAATATAAAAAATATTTATTAATTGATAAAGAAAATAAAATAAATTTTGTAAAACTCTGTTACAAATTATCTTTTATTATGAGTTTTTTAATAAAAGGAAATTTAATTAGACAATAATATATTTAAAGAAAATAAAATAATTTCTTTAAAACTCTACCACAAATTATTCATTTTATTTTTAATAAAACTCTATCACATTAGACAACGATATATTTAAAGAGTTTCTATAAAACTCTAACACAAATTACATATTTATCTATTTATTATTTTGAGTTAATAATAAAAGAAAATCTAATTAGAAAAGAATAATTAATATAAAAAAATTTATTAATTGATATATAAAATAAAATAGTTTTTCTAAAATTGTAGCACAAATTACCTTTTATCATAATTTTTGAATAAAAATAAATCTAATTAGATAAGAATATATTTAAAGAAAATAAAATAATTTCTATAAAACTCTACTCCAAATTACATTTTTTTTTTCTTCAATAAAACACTATCATATTAGACAAAGATATATTTAAAGAGTTTCTATAAAACTCTAACACAAACTACCTATTTATCTATTTATTATGAGTTTTTTCAATTAGAGGAAATCTAATTATCCGAGTATTATTAATATAAAAAATTAATTCATATAAAAAAGAGGTTTTAAAAGAGTTTCTATAAAACTCTAACACAATTAACCTATTTATTTATTTATTATGAGTTTTTAATAAAGAAAATATAATTAGACAAGAATAATTAATATAAAAAAAAATTATTAATTGATTTGAAAAGAGCTTTTAAAAGAGTTTCTACCTAAACTTTAACACAAATTACATATTTATTTATTTATTATGAGTTTTTAATAAAATAAAATTTAATTAGACAAGAATAATTAATATAAAAAATATTTATTAATTGATATAAAAAATAAAATAATTTTTCTAAAACTCAACCACAAATTATCTTTTATTTTGAGTTCTTTTTTAATAAAAAGTAAACTAATTAGATAAGAATTATTAATATAGTAAAATATTTATTAATTGATATAAAAAAAGAGTTTTTAAAAGATTTACTCTAACACATATTACTTATTTATCTATTTATTATAAATTTTTTTAATAAATGAAAATATATTTAAACAATAATATATTTAACGAAAATAAAATGATTTCTATAAAATCTACCACAAATTATTGATTTTATTTTCTGCAAAACTCTATCACATTATATATTTAATATGAGTTTTTTAATAAAGTAAAATCTAATTAGACAAGAATATATTTAAAAAAATAATAATAATTTCTATAAAACTGAAACACAAATTAGCTATTTTATTTTCTATAAAACTTTATCACAAATAACACGTGCTTATCTATTTTTTATGAATATATTTACAGAAAATAAAATAATTTTTATAAAACTCTATTACAAATTACCTATTTTATTTTTTTTAAAACTCTATCACATATCACCTATATTAATATATTTAATATGACTTTTTTATTAAAAGGAAATTTAATTAGACATGGATATATTTAAAAAAAATAAAATAAATTTTTAAAAGAGTTTATATAAAAGTCTAACGCAAATTACTGATTTATCTATTTATTATGAGTTTTTTTAATTAAAGAAAATCTAATTAGACAAAAATTATGAATATAAAAAATATTTATTAATTAACATAAAAAGTAAAACACTGTAATTTGTATTAGAGTTTTAGAAAAATTATTTTACTTTTTATGTTAATTAATAAATATTTTTTATATTCATAATTTTTGTCTAATTAGATTTTCTTTAATTAAAAAAACTCATAAATAACGATATATTAAAAAAACTCATAAATAACGATATATATATATATGTATGTATGTATATTTAAAGAAAATAAATAATTTTTATAAAATTCTACAACAAATTACCTATTTTATTTTCAATAAAACTCTATTACATTAAATAACGATATATTAAAAAAGTTTCTATAAAACATTAACACAAATTACCTAAACTCTACCACAAATTAACTATTTTATTTTTTTAAAACTCTATCACGTATAACCTGTATTTATCTATTTATTATGAATTTTTTAATAAAAGGAAATCTAATTAGACAAGAATATATTTAAAGAAAATAAAATAATTTCTATAAAACTCTACCACAAAGGACAAATTATTTTATAAAACTCT